TAAAATGGAAACCCTTCAAGTTCACATGATCCTAAACTTGATTTAGGACAGGACATCTCTATGGGGTGGCTTGTAAGTTAAGTCTGACTACCTTAGACCATTGGTTCAAAAAATGCACTGTTCCTCTGCAAAGTTAGAAGCTCACAGCTATTCTGAAGTATGAGTAGCTATTTTTTATCTCGTATGATTGAATTTTCATGGTTTTCCACAAAATTGAGCATTAAGCTGTGATCAAGTTTTATCTACAGAAGGCTTGTTACAGATGCACCTGCACTGTAGCCTGCACTACAGATGCACCTGCATGTGTAACGTATGCCAGCCTATGACTGCGCAACGTCCAGTGTATCAGTAGAGAGTCAAGGCGGGGAGGAAGCTGAAGGAGGTGAACTAAAACATCCATCAACATGTGGAGGGAGGTGAACCCAGTGTTTGGGGTCAACCAACCCGTGGAAGGGCTCCTTACAGTTTAAATGCAGGATCTTTCCTTCTCGAATGTGCTACCCAAACACTGTACAAGGAGCCATAACATCATTATGCAAATGGGTGTCAAAGTCCCTCCAATCAAGTCTAATCGCCAAAACCTATCCTTCAATCCAGCAAGATTTCAGCAGAAGATCCCTCCCTCGATCCCTCACTCCGAGGTGAATGAAGAGCTCGAACTCGAGTTAGTAACCTCCCTCGATCCCTCACTCCGAGGTGACTGAAGAGCTCGAACTCGAGTTAGTACCGATTTGACCGGGGTACTCGGGCCCTTTTAGATCGTGGGTGTTTTGAAACTGGCCGCCTTTCTCTCTAAAAAACATACAGAGGAACAACGTTATAGTTAGAGGATCTTTTCGCTTCGACGGTCGTGAGTTTTCCCCAGAACTTGCAAGGTTTTTTCTGGAAGTGAAGATCAGCCCTTTGTCATTGAAAGTACTGTAAAGGGGTTGGACCGGTTGTTTGGCTAACATTTCTATTGTCTTTTTTTATTATTAGTTTTTTGGAAATACACTTTTGTTTTTGTTTTCTTGAATTATGCCTTAGTTACTCCCGCTTGAATTTGAATTGGCACGGACCTGATTTCCTGGAAGGGAATTCCTTGTAATGGAATCGGGGCACGTTAAGGTAAAGGTTTTATTTTAACTTAATTAATATTTCAATTTTTATAAATCCAACCCACTGCATCCTGTGCCCGTTACATATGCACCTGCTGAACATTTATGAAGGTAATTAAACTTCAGCACAGTAAAGAAATGAGCAGTGGAATTCCTATGAGGACATGATTCAATTGAAGATGATCCTCGCCCAGGTCAATCTTCTGAGATGACTACAGTGAAACTTGCATTGCTGCAGAAAAGCTAGGAATGGAAGATAAGAAAATTTAAAACGAGGGAAATAGTGCAGGTATTGGGTATCTCAAAGGGCAGCATTCAATCCATCTTGCGTGAAAAGCTAGGTCTGTCAATGGTCTATGCCTGCTGGGTTTCCCAAATGTTCATCACTCAACATGGCAACAGATCATGATGAGTCTACAGAGTTTGGACTGGTTCACTGCATATTTTTGCTCAAAGATAGTTAGTGGGGTTGAAATGTAGCCTCTTTGCTGGGACTCAGAATCAAAGCAACAGTCAATGCAGCAGATTCTCCATCACCCAGGAAGTTTTGGACTTGGGCCTCTGCTGGCAAAGTCGTGGCGATGACTTTCTGGGACACTTTGGGAATCATTCACATTGACTGTATGCCTCCCATGTAGTACAATAATGAACTAGCATGGGCATTGCTAATAAATGTTTGGGTTTCCTGACTTTATGATCACCTGTACTAGGGAAAGGCATGGTAGGGTGCAGGATTTACAGGGGATTTGCTATGGAAATGTGGTCATCATGAAGAGGGATACTTGATAAAATGCACAAATGTTTCTGTTTTAATTGATGCCAGACAGAATCAATATCCACTGATGTCTAGAAATTGACCAATACCAGACTTGACTAACAATAATAATTTATCTCTAGTTGGGAGTACTTGGAAAAGTCCCTCCATCATTAGGGGAGCAAACAAAGGTTAGTAATAAAAAAATAAAATAAAAGGTTTTACAACTTTTTTTGAATGAAGCAACTATTGTCAGCACATCCCTGCTAAGAGTGGTTAAAGACTCCTGAGTAGTCTTAAAACAATCCTTTCAAAAACCCCTCAAACCACCCTTCAGCATTGTACTTTACTCCATGGTCATCCTGAAATCTCTTCATACACAGGTGTTCTTTCAGTGTCAAAACATAAAAATCACGGGTGTGAATGAAGTAAATAGGGTGGGTGCAGCACTTGTTTGAAGTCATCACAGAAAGTGTCCTGTGAAACATTGGCCATATGAGCTGGTGAATTCATGCAAACTAGGATCCCTTTCTTGGGTGCTTCTTCTCAATGGATTCAGGCAATCTTTCCAGTAATGCAGCATAGTACAACAAAAATTATTCAGACACTGCAAATCTAGTTCAACATGAGTGTGTTCACATGAAATCACATGATATGCTGAAAGTGTCCCCCTTGGACATCAAGACAGCTGCACTCTTCTACATATATTTCCTGCCAAACATTCTAACATGTCAATGGGAATCCCGCCTGCGATCACTGTGATTTCCTACAATTCTCGAACTTAATGAGGATTGTTTTTGTAGCTTGCTCCTTTACATATCCCATAATAAATAATCAAGTCAGGTAAGATCTGGGGACATTGATGCCCAATATGAGATCACCCATTCCTTGAACACAGCTCGAACATTTTGCATGCTCTCCTTGGATGCATGAGCTGAAGGGATAAATCTCAACAAGGAAAACAAGCTGCCCTGTGAACACCATTTTACTTGAAACTGAATGACTAAGCAAAATTCTGGCTTGACACTTGTGTACTGAGAAATCATTCTCCTACATATACTGTACATGTTGAACTATAAATGTGCAATGTAGGAAGGGTCCATCTTATATAGTATGGGCAAAACCTTTAATTGTTTGAGTTTCCTGACTTTACGATCACCATGTATTTTGAGGATATGGGGACTCAAACTTGACTTTCAAATGGTTACAATTGTAGTTTCAAGCATTTTGGCCATTCAATGTCCTTGAAAAGAAATAGCATTGATGTTGGGATACTAGTGTTACCAACTGGAAGATGGTCCTGTCCCATAATTTTGAATGTAACTGCAGACCTCTTCTTTGATAGTGTCTTTTCCAGAATGAGCCCCCACTAAGATGCAAGTAACTAAGCCCATCTGGTTTCAAAACACTTCATACTGGAGCATTTTAGATCCTTTTAGGCATTACTTTTGCAGGTGAATCAATAGACTCAGGAGAGGGATGGGCAATAATTATCCCATGATTTTCAGATGCCATAATGAAGATGTAGGGTATGCCATAATGAAGATGTAGATGTAGTAAATAACAGCTGTAACCAAATCCATGTCATCAACTTCATTCCATCATGGAAGTAAAATCTGGCTAAAGCAGGATGTGTATAGACCATCACAGACTTTTTGAAATGAGGCACCATGCACATACATCTGAGCAAACAATCATTCTATGAGGCAAACACTGCTCTTGAGGCATTTGATCACGATTGGTCATTCAACTCCCATTGCTGTTAACAGCACGTCAATAAAGCACATATAGGTGTCCCAAAAAAAAAAATAACTGAACAACTTTCTGGTCAAGAATTTCTTGCATCTAGAGAGATTTTTAGGACAGTTTCAAGGAACAACCAAAGAATATATGACTTAACAGTTTGATTCATATCATACTTCAAGGACATGACTGAATTGGCATAGGGGAAGTTATCAAAATGCCCACACTGTGACCACTGAAGAGCTTAAATCTAGTGACAAAGTTTTCACCCAATTGTAAGTTTAAAAAAAAGTAATTGGCATAAAAGTCTAGGTTTGAAAAGGCTAATTGTGACATGTCACACTCCTGGGTGCCAAACTTCATCACTTATAAAAATTCAGTATTTCATGCCAGGCAATCAAATGGTGGTGCTGAATCAAAGAGGTGTCAATGTCCCTAGTCAACAATGTCAGTCTATTTTTGGTGACAAAAGCACGAGATCATGTAGAAACCTTGCAAATATCCTGGAGAATTTCAGGAAGGTTTACAATGGTGATCCATGCAAATGGAGACCATATTGATTCTCTTTGTGTAGATTGATAGCAGCACCTCTCTTTCGACCAGTTGTTTCTCCCACAAGACTAAGCTGAGGGCATCCAGCAAGACCTCACCATTTTGCTTTTTCTTCTTGAGCTATCAGCTTTCCAAAAATCTCCAAGAAGGCAAGAAAGTGTTGATCAAAGGAGTCACTTCATTTTTTTCATTGATAAAAGATAAGAAAATGGGAAATTCTGTCATTTTCCAAATCAAATCCAGGTTATTTGATGAAGAGTAATATGGAACAAATTTGCATCCATTGCCCTTGCTGTATCAGTTTTTGGGAAACTTCCCAAGATGCAAGAAAATTGTATTACTTTTTTTTCAGGGACACCCTATATATGCCCAACACCATCACCTTTAGCAGTCTCACAAACATCACAAAGCAGATATTCTTGTCCAGTATGGGTGTCTATAGCTCCAACAGCTCTGTAATGTGCAGATCACTGATATGAAAATTCAATGCATGATATGGGTGCAAAGATCCTGTTTACCTGACACTCAATGCATTCCTAATGCTTTGAGCATGACAGCTCTGGTATAGTTGCAGAATAAAATGAGCAAGATATCAGAGATCATGGAGAAAACACAAATACTGTCAGCAAGTATCTTTGTCAGAGCTAAAAAAATAAGCATGCAGCACTACCTTGGCAAATGGAAGTACTTCTAGACCTAAATACTACAAAATAAGGGATAAGGAAAGTCAACCATTATGCTTGCCCTGAGCATTGGGAATGCCAGACAAAAAATCAGATCCTGTGCACTATTCAGAATCACAGGAATGTGACAAATGCAAAGGTAGCAAAATGCTTGACTTCCCATCCATGACCTCAGTTGGATTGCTTTAAGGTTGATGGAAGAGATGGATGTAGGAGTCTTCATCATTGATACTAATCATCCTTCAAGGCTAATAGCATTGATGTGTATGAGATATTTGAGATCTTGATTTTCTTATCGATGGGGGCTTCATCAACTCCAAAAGGCAGCCCACAGCTCCAAAGTACCCCTGTACAAAGCAGATCGTAGTGTGAGACTCTTCACCCTTCAATGCTTTATCTAAGCAAGACATCAACTTATCTAATGTTACTCAATGCCAATATGGAATTATAGCAAAGGACATTACCTCATGCTCAAGGAAGAGGGCTTTCTGGTGCCCAGCAGACCAAAAGTCCATAGCATACGCCAGGAGCTCCATTGAGATCGGGTTGATGCGAAGGAAGTTTCCCACAAACACAACTCTCTCAATGCCTTCATTCTTGGCACACATTCTGGCAATAGAGCCAATGTTGTTTGTGATAGTAACCAATGTCGCTCTTGCCAGGTCTTCCTTGGTGACATTGGCTCGTCTATCCACACAGTGCATGTTGCCAAAGCTGGACATGAGAGAAAGGAGAGAGTGCATTGATTTGATGAAAGGGACTTTACTTAAATATCTCATGCTCTGTATGAAGACTTAAAAATAAAGCTTTCTATATCAAAATATGCACAAGTATTCATTTGAGACACATGATATGACTTTTTGTCACTTTAGCCCCTCTTCACATATGCAAATATTCTATGTAATTCTCTGATAGGCTCAGAACAATATAAAGAAAATCCTCCTTCTCGTTGGTCTAATTAATGTACGGGGTGTTCCAATTAGATGGCCCCCATTCCAAGGAAAGCCTGGAAGGGGGGCTATCTATCTTGCAGGGGTTGTGCTAATATTCTTGCCCTGGCCTCCTGCCCATGCATCCTGGGGATCCTGGGACCCCCCAGGCAGAACACCTAAGACTGCTGGATTGAATATCATACTGCTTGGTTATGTTAAGTTGGCAAATGCACATGGATTGCTGGACTTTTACTTTCAGGGAACCCTTCAAGTTTCTCTTGTGCTTCCCTTGGAAAGTAACCCCCTTAACTATCAGGGGACACTTCCATATCAGACCTGAAGGTCCAAGGGACCCCTGTCCTAGAGGTTATCTACGTAAAAAAAAAACACACTTATATCTGAAAAATACATTCAATTTTGAGTCTAATGCAAAAGTACTAGTAGTAGATGTAACCAACATGAACATCATGAATGGTCTTCAAATGATTGGGAAAGAATGAGAACTTTTATGAAGAGTGCACGACGGAGCAACAGCAAGGCTTTTGACAGATTTCCTTTAGGTGAGATGGACAGCTAACATTTTCCCTTTGCTTCCCACTCTCTGTGGCTATGATACCCTTTGACTCTTGAAACAAATCCATTCATCCCTGACTGTTCATCAGTCTTCATGGACCAATTATAGGGATTTTTGCTCCAGTTTCTCATGACAAAGTCCTCAAAATGCTTCATCTTTGTAGCAATCCAAAGCTCAAGAGAAAGCTGGCACCAGCATCCCAAGCATCAATAAAATGTACTTTTTTGCTGTCATAAGTAGCCATAAGGAAGAAAGGAGAATGTATTTAGACTCAAAATTTAATGTTTTCATGATTATATGATTATATTTGGGTTTTTTTTCTTACCCATCTTATGCCTGTCAGGAGGGATTGTCTATCTGAGAAACCCTGTACCAACAACACCTGCAAAGTCTAGTGGAAGCAATGAAAAAAATTTAAATAGCAGCTTTTGACCTCAGGTATTGATATGAACTTAAACATGGATCAACATGAACTTCATTATGATATACCACACCTTGATGCAACAAGATCTCCTGGTAATTCAAAGCGTTCATAATCACCACCATAGATGTCCTTGACCAACTTGTCAACACGATGACTATCGCCTTTTTCAGCAAGTTCAATGGCCTCCTCATATGTTGAGCACCCCGTGAGAAGGCAGCAGAGACCTAGGAAGGTTCCTCCTCCTAAACTATTGCACAAAAGAATAAAGTGTTCTCACACAGGGCATCTATATTGTTATACTCTAAGATATATGACTATTTCTCCATCAAAGAAATAGGCCTACATGTGGTATAAAATCCTCTGACTCTTCTATACATTTGCCTTGCAAGTCAAGAGCAGAGTGGTGAAACAAGACAGTGTCTTTGACAGATGAACACCATAGCACCTTTTCAGTGAAATTCTTCTAAATACTGAGAATTCTTGAGGCTGGAACATTGCTTGTACATTCCAGTTTGACTGATCAAATGGTGGCTCCAACTATCTCTCCTAAAAATAACCTTTTGCCTGTAATTTAGCATTTTCAATTACATTTCCACAAGAGTAGACTGCAGACATAATGTAAAAATTCCTTGGTTAATCCTTGATTCATTTCTTCTTCAAAGAACCAGCTTTTCTCTTCCTCCTTTCATCTAGCTCATGCTCCACTGAGCCTCAGAACTTCATGCTCCTCTAATTTTAATCTTCAATCCAGTATGATCCATACAAAGAAACCAATTAGAAAAATCAGGTCATCATACCTAGCATCAATTTAGTCGATTCCATCCTTGGTTTTCCTTTTTCCTTTTTTTAATTATCATAAAACAACCAAGAGCTACAAGCAACTATGTGCCCAATACAGTGTATGTATACAAATACTGAAATTTGCAGGATTTGAAATGGCTGCAGTAATTATAAATAAGCATGGATGTACTAGAATCTGCAGTATAGTTGTTTACAAGTTTTGCTGGTAGCTGGTAGCTAATGACAACAGTTATTTTATCATTTCATCAATGAACCACACCATACTGATGACTCTTGAGAAGGTGCAGTACATAATTTAGTAATTAAAATTTGAATAGCCAGTTACTGTACCCCATGAGTTCCAACACGTCTTCAGGAAGATGCCTCCAGATCCAGCAAGCATAAAGGTTTGAAAATTTCCAATGCACAGGAACCTTGCTACATCAGGCAGGCAGTTGTATTCATTCCTGTGGAGCTTCTGCAGAATGTCATGGTTCCCTTCAATGGATGCATAAGTGCATATATCTTCTGAGCCTGCAAGTGGAGATTGTATGAAACTTAAAACTTTGGCAAACACATTTCAACCAGTTTCAAGCAGGTATGTGCTTATTTATAAAAGTTACAGCCACTTTAAATCCTGCCAATTCCAAGGGATGCCCTATTTTTCAACCTAGTCCCTTTATCCTTCAAAAGGACTTGGTGATTACCAAGGATGATAGAACACAGTTCTTGAAGGATATAATGGCATAAAATCATACCATATGAAAAGCTCAAACAGCCAGAAAATTTTTTCCTTCAAATGTTCGATTTTCTCTGTTAGTATTGCTAAGTTCATATTCAGAATTGAACTTGAATCTAAACAAAATGGAGAGCTTTGATACAGGAAGTACTCTGTTAAGATAACACTCTACTCAGAACTGGTAACATACCTACTAAGACAAGGATAGAGTTCAATCAAAAGTACAAGACTTCAACACATTGCATCATTGTTTTGTCACAGGCAATCTCCTACTCCAGGAATGGAGGCTGTCCCATGGTTAGATTTGTAAAATTATTGGTAGTGGAGGGGGCATTACTTGCTCATAATTTACTGTTAAAATAAAGGTATTTTACCAGGAGCCTTCAAGTAATCTCACAGCAAGCAAATTTCATCATATTTTCTTAGCCAGAAGCAGAGGTCCAAAAAATCGGTGACCTTGCAAGCCTGGCTAATAGGAAGTGGGAGCAATATGAGAAGGTAAGGGAAAGTTGGACAGCTGAGAAGATTGAGAAATGTGAGAGGGTGGCATTTGCGTGTAGAGTAAGGAAGTGTTTTGCATCCAGAAAATTCTGAAATGACAAGGCCAGAAGCAAAGTTGAATTCATTCATGCAAAAACAAGCTATAAGAGCTTGTATGCTCTGGATGTTACACCTCCTGTGAGATTCTCACATTCTTCCTTCTCTTCTATTTTGATGAAATAAGATACCCAGTGTTCATCACTGTTCAGCTGAAAACATAACCTGAACAAGTGGTGTATAAGTGCCACTTTTGGAGCTTTCTACTCATTTTAGCCTTAATGCTAAGGCTAGCTTTCATTATCATGCACCTATACCTGTTGATTCCAAATACTTGAATAAACATGAGAATTATTTCATAGATGCAAGCCAACAGTGATGGCACAATAGATGCCAAATCAGGCATTTCGAGGGGGATAGGTACATGTCTCTGATGGGCATTTAAGTTTACCTCTCTATTGAAGCATACACCAGGACACCCAATTCTACCTGGCTCAAACAAAAAAAAAGGGAGCATAAAATACAAATCACTGCAATGCTTGATCAAACTTCTGATGTTTAAATTGAAAATACAAAGACTGCAGTAAAGTACTTCACCTGGTGTTTGGTAAAATTATAGCAGCAGATCTGCTAATATGTTCAATCCTATCCTAACATATAATTTATGAGAAACTTACAAGTTTCTGTTTCAACATGAGGTATGAGGTAGGAAGTTAATTGGGAAAGGGTTATTTTGCACTAAAATTATTGCTATGGAGCAATACTATGCCCTATATTGAACTAGAAGCCATAATACTGTTTTCTTTAATTTACCTGGATCCCGAGACCCGTGAGTAGTTTTCTGGTCCATGCACAGCCAAGATACTTACACCAGAACCAATGTTGACCACCTGTATATGTAATTGGAAGGATCCTGAATGTAGAAACCCATGGGCTATGGAATTAGATCTAAGAATGCAAATGACCTACTCACCAGGAAAGGATAGGGATCAGAGAAGTCATAGACCACCTTGGAGTTTGTTGCTGGATCACGTGGATTTGAATAATAGAATACCTCTTGATCATTATTCTCCTCAATGAACTGAAGTCCCCTAATGAGGGAGTCCAACTCATCAAATTTATGCAGGACTAGATTAACTTCCTGTAAAGAGATATTCACAGATGGATTTGATGATTCTGATTCACATTCAAATATGGGAGGAATCTTAAAATTCAGAAAGAAGGCAAGAATTGCCGCTGAGAGGTGACTCACCTTTTGAAATTCTGCCTCATATTTATAGGCACCACCACCAGTTGCACATATAGTGTGAGCCATTTGTGCCAATCCTTTTCTCTTGGCAAGTGTCACAAACTCACTCATCTCAGTTGTTGGAAATCTGATAAAATGTAAGCTTCCATGTCGTCCTCCAATGCAAACTTGATCCATCTATAACAAGATTGCAAATAAATAAATTGAGTCAATAAAGGTGTACTTGAAAATTAATGAACAGGATCTTAAGTTGTGCGCCAAATAGATGCAGAGAACAAAATGAGAAACATCTCGATTATATTACCAGTGATGCCATGGAAATTGACATGGTAAGCAACATGCAGTTTAAGTATAATATTTCATTGCTTTTTTTAAAATATGGTTTAATATATTTTCCCAAGGCTTTAACATGCTCAAGGCACACAAAGATCTTTAGACTCTCCCTTCCCCCCCCCCAAAAAAAAATTTTTTCATACAAAAATTAATGACTCAAATTTTTAAAAAGTTGAACATGTATTAAAATTATGAAGTTATTCACAAGAAGGCTTGCACATAAGAGATGTAAACAGTTTTGTAACACACCTGCAGATGAACATCTCGGTGTCCTGTTTTACCATAAGCAGCATTCCTTGTCAGGTATTTTCGGATGTTGGTGACAGTTTCAGCCTCATCTCTTCCGTGATCATCACATGGCTCAAAATATACTAGCTTTGCCAGAGTCCCTCCTATATCCATCCCAAACCATGGCATTGCTATAAGAGAATAAGCACATTAATAAACAGTATGAGATTGGACACAGTGCTTTTGCATTGAGTTCTTATACCCTTTTAATGCAAACCATTATTTTTTATGGGTCTATGAAGGCAAAAGTAATTAACATTTCCCCTGGTCTTACATATGACATGAACTGGTATTTAACAGATGTTCCTAGAGTCTAAGCACAGCAGTGCCAATGGCCTCTTGAGGGTGTGTAAACTCATTGCAAGAGCACTATAAGACTGCACCTGAAGAAGATAAAACTAGGCAGCCTTCAAACTGTTTATAGATGTCTTCATTATTGAGCTGTAACACCTTATTTTTTAAATGCAACACCTAGACATACATTGTTCTCTGACTGAATTCATACCCTCACCCAAAAGTGAACAGAGCAAACAAAATGTAAAGAGAAAGTTTCATTTGATGATCTAAGATCCTCCCCTGATCCTCCCATATGGAAGATGTCACTATCTGCCATCAATGAAAGTATCCCCATGGAGGGACATGAATTCAATCTGGAAATAGTAGGAAAAGCTGGTATCATCACAAGGATCAAAACTCAATTATGAATACTTTGAATACTTGCATTAACCCCCATTAAGTACTAGGTTTAATAAAGGCATGCAACATGCTTAGACTGAGTTTTTTTTAGAAGTTTACTTACCTAAGTTTGTGACTGTTGAATCTTGAAATATGATGATCCTAACCCCAAAACTAATTTTAAATTGCATATCTGTGACCATTTGGCTGGGGGGACAATACTACAGCTGTTGTGGATATGTGACAGTGTTTAAAAGGGTTAAATCTTATGTGCCTACAGTAGGCTTAGACCAAGTGTCTCATGCATCTTCGACTTGTGATTAACAATGACAACCAAATAACCTGGCAGTGGCTTCTAAGTGAAGTATGATCCTCTAGGGGTTTTGGCACCTTTCAATGCCACCTGTTAAAAATTAAGGGGGTAATTTGCAAAAAAACTTCTGAAATTGAGATGCAAGCATAAGCTTCATGCATTAGGCTGATGCAGCATCAAGAGATTGATGGTAGATTTTCCTGCACATTTGTAGAAGTTTTCAAACAAGATTTCATCAATAAAGTATGACTCCATACTATAAAAATGAATGATATAAAATTTAATCAAGATTCCTCAGCTCCTTATTTGAGCTTTTTTCACCAATGTGTTTGTATTATGCATGCCTACATCTCAAAATCATAGATTACTTTATCTGTATGAGCCTTTGGCTGCAATCTGAGGTGATATTCCAATGTTGATGTTATAACTAGTTCATGATTTTCCTCAGGAACTAGGAGAACAGATGCAGCTATGCCTGCACATTGTTTGCACTGATGAGACCATTCATGCCTCCCCAAAAGCACTAGGCTGTTACTGACAGAACATCAACCATATTGCACTGCAATTCTCACCCTAAAAGACTCAATTATGATTTAAAGTCTATGCCTTATTAAATATCTTCTCATGCAACCCAGAGCACTTCGCAGGCTTGTGTGGTGGTGTATCTCTTCTTAAATGTCTCCCTATGGCATTAACCCTCCCCCCTTTGAGCCCCACTGCCTATAGGATACTCACATGGATTGTCACCACTGACCGCAATGGGGGGGGTAAACCCATTCACCAATACAGGTGAGGTAGAGACAGTCTCATCACCTGATTTCCGAGAACTCTGGTTGGTGACAGACTCCATGATCTGCAAGGCACAACAAAGAGGGAAAAGAATTTGCGACTGTTTTTCCAAGAAATGCTGTGAATTTCGATTGATTGCACCCTCCTGAAGTCCCTTTTGAAAGGTGCGAAGATGCAACTTGAGCAACATTGGCCGAATCAAAATAACTGCCCCTGGATAAATAAATGTCTGAAACGGGAACCACAGTAAGGCCGGGGGGGGATACAATCAATCGAAAATCCCTCATGAGCATCATGAAAGCGTAGAACGCAATCTCTTTTACACTAATTGTAATCTCTATGGTGCATGTAAGAAAATGAGGACAACTTGTATCTTTCAAGAAAGATGAGACATTAGATCTAAGGAGCCTATGTTAACGGGAGAGCGAATTCATTGGCGAATCACAGTAAGCAACATTTCAGCAGCTCTGAAGTTGTCGGCAGTGAGCCTCGAGCCCATAACGAGCTACACACCACTCCAGCACGGCATGACACTCATGAACTACTGCAAGTCTCCATGATCCGCCTGCTAACACTGCTGATCAAGAATCACAGGCGATTGCTTCAAACGACAATTTTTTCTAATTAAATGCCTCTATACGTTATTCAGTATTACGGAAACCATGTCCTTGCTAAGCTTTATTATTTTACATCCTACAGATGGACAGAAAAATGCAGTTGTGGCACGGAGAAAAGGATGCCTTCGGGCAACCATTGTGAAAATCGCTTCTACATGAGGGTGGGATAATCAGTCACATGACTGTTCTCATGATCCCTGGTAGGCATCACGTGGAGTCCTGTTCAGTTCCACAGTGGCTTCTGCACGGTGTTACTTGTATCTCTCATCGCAACGCCAACATCATCCTTCCATGAGCGTGCATTTTGCCTGCAATACGCATTGGCCTATACGAGGCTAACAGAACTACTGTCTTTGCCAGTGAGAGGGTCTAGCATTTCTTGAATGAAGGGCAAAGGAAAACGTTCCGTTTTAATTCAGATTAATAGGCGTTTGATCCTTCCATGCAAATTAAAGGCATTTGCTTGGGCTACGTCTAAACTCCACTCTAAGCCTAGCTATTAAATAACATTTACAAAGAGTATGGTGAAAAATTAACTGAGACTTTAAGTCGCCATGTCTCAGGAATGCAAAATCAAATCAATTTGGTGAGAATCAAGTTTACCTTTCTACTTTGGTATTTTGAGATTTTGGTAGAAATCTGATTCGGATCAAATTTATAACCAACCTTCTAAACTAGGAATTTAAAATGGCCAACTCCAACAGATTTGTAGCCCCACTGAAATGGGGAAGTTGTTCGGTGGTGATGGTTGAACTCCTGCATTTCCTGCAAAAGCTACTTTGATCCAGTTTTTGATCATTTTCATATCATGCCTAATTTCATTGTTTGAGAGACTCAAATTTTCATTGATGTTCTGCATTACATATTTTTAGTGTAAAAATCTTGTGAGATTACTTTAGTCTATTTCTTGGCAAAGGCTTTCCTTCAAAATTGTAGATTCATTGCTGAATATTAGTCATGGCACCAATTTCATTTGATGGATATTGAAATATCTTAGCTTAAAGTGAAAAGAGGTAGACTATATTCCCACTAAATTTGGTGAGATCAGATGAAAGTAGTCCTATCATTTTGCCACACAGGATTTTTTTTTTTACCCTACCCTATAGTTATCCACAAGGTATGTCACATTGATGATGCTGCCTCTGAAAATTTAAGGGTGTGAAGTTCTACAAATTAACTCCTGCTCCTTTTGATTTCTACCTGTATAGTGTCACACCACCAAGTAACCCTCCAATCATCCCATTTCATAAGAAACCTATTCATCCTTTCTGCTGTCTACCCTTGGGGAATGAAGCATTTTGTTCTCTAACAAACATATACCCCAACATGCCTAAGCTTACCAAAACAAGAGCATGATGAGGAGGGACTTGAATATGCAAATTGGAGAATTATAGGCATGCTAAAGTCTTACCTAGTCAGGATTTGTTTTTTTATTTCTCTATGTATTTTATGCTTGATGCCTGCCAGTTAATTGTTTTGTTTTATATGAAAAGAGGAAGGCACATAATTGCAGACCTGTTAGGCCTGTTGTATGCTACAAATTATGTACCAAAGTCACCATTAAACTAACAGTCAGTTGGTCAAGACTGCCTTACTATGAGAATATTCTTGCTTGAGGAAAAAATGATCTGGAGACCACAACAGATAGCCCAAGGATAGTGCAGGATCTGGCTCAGAAATTAGAGAACTAGAAATTATAGGAGTAATCTCTGGGGGAACATGTCAGCAGATGAAAGCTTGTGTAGTGGTAGGCTTCCACCCTTTCCTGAAAACCCTCTTTAGCCCCTTAACTGGGAAGTTTGTCATCAAATACAGTTTAACCTATGGGAGGTCAGATGTCAAAAGACATCTAACCCAGAAAAGGGGTTAAGGGATTTCTTATTCCCACTCATATCTTAAATTGAATCCTGAAGAAAAGACCTTGAAACCCAAACTGACTAAGTAGATTTGAGTCAACTGATTTTAAAATGAAAATCATTCAATTTAAAAAACCTCCTGGTGACCAAATTTGCAGCCCTTCATCTGGAGCTGTAATTATGCCTGTGAATGGCACAAGGCATATGCCACAAATGATTCTAATTTGAGAAGGTTGAAAATTGAAGGCCATAGTTATACCATTGCCTTCAATTATCAATCATCCCTCTGAAGAAGAGTAATTCATCTTCACTGCTCACGAATTAGAGGAATGCTTCTTGATCGGCAAATTGCAGGTAGCACAAAATTATTTCACCTTTGATCACTCAGTCTGGAGTTGCATCTGGTAGACTGCAAAGCTTCCATTCCTCCAGTCTTCTATCGAATTTGCCTTAGTCATTTTCATATAGTTCTAAAGGTGACTTGTGTTCTTCAGAATTCTGTCCATTTGTTAATCTATTCAATTCATACCAAGGTTATCCCAATGTCATGCAGATATGATGCATTTAACATGATCTTTCTTTGTAAATATTCCCTCAGGTTCCTTGAGTCCTTACTTTATAAATTCATTTGAGAAAAATGGCTGCACAGACACAGGGAATCCAGCAGCTTCTTGCAGCTGAGAAAAAAGCTGCAGAAAAAGTGGCAGAGGCAAGAAAGAGTGAGTCTGTTCCCATCAGGAGTCACCTTGCATTATAGTTCTAATTTGAGCCATGATACAATTCATGCCTGTTTACTGCAGCATTTGGTGTGTACAGGATATGAAAAAAAGAAACCAAAACTTTTAACTTGAATATCTATGCTCTCACTGGAGCTATTTTTATATGAAACTTGTATTTCACATAGATCGATATGTTCCTCACAGATTATAGAAATGTTATTCAAATTGATATTCCCAAAGGTTATAAGCAATTTTTTGCAAGAAATTAGGAATCAAGAATGGATAGGGGACTATCCCCTCTGAGTGCCTCAATCTATTATGCAAAGCTAGGGAAAATCTGAATAAACTTTGAACAAACTTTCTGCTTTGATGCTGATATATTTTTCAGTCTCTGATTGGAATGAAGCTTATCAAAGCTATCTGCAAGAAAAAGCCATTCTAAATGGTTAATTTCAATGAAAGAGAAGTTGGATGTGGCCTGGATGATATGCAGTCACTTTGGTGTGTCCTCCACTACACTACTCCACTCCTGTTCATTTCCATTATCCATCTTCTTTTAAACCATTGCTTATAGCTATGCCTTGAAATGATGAATTTTGAAGATGTTAGAAACATGTCCATATGTGCATTGTGAAAATTTCATGAAAATAGCTCCTGTGGGACCAGAGATTAATTGGTTATAAGTTGTTAGTTTGTTTTTTATTTGCCATACCGTGTATATTGAGGAAAGTATTTATATATAAAATTTCAGAATTTTGGATTTTCACCAAAGGTCATTATTTATCATGTAACCTTTTCTGTTATTTTGTTGTGGAACTTGACACATATATTGTTTCTTCCCTAAGGGAAAGCTAAAAGGTTGAAGCAAGCCCAAGAGGAAGCACGAACTGAAATTGAGCAATATCGGCAAGAGCGTGAGCGGCAGTCCAAGGATTATGAGATCAAGGTGACTCTTTTTTTCATTATTTTATTGTATAGGTATTGATGCCAATGTATAAAGTATGCAAATAAATTCTCCCTTTTTCATTGAATTGCTATATCTGCATTAATTAAAATGATCTGATTCAATATGGAGGGTAATAGTAGCAATCTTTCCTAATTTAATGTAATTTATTTCAAATAAATATGATTTGTACTTTATACTCAATTTTTTTTGCCATACAAGGTGAAAAAAATACAGTATTTGTGCAGGCATTATTGTCAGATTGTGGATGAATTTTCTTAATTTATTTTTTTATGGAGAATTCTCAGAAAGCTAAAGGTTGTTCATTTGTAAATGATAGTAACAACCATGAATAATATTAGGATTACACATAATTATTGAAAGCAATGTTCAGTATGCCCTCTTTGGCTTCAACAACCATTGTCAGCCTAGTTTGCTCTACGTGAAGGGTGTTTCTTTTAGCATGTAAAGAAAATAATGCATGTGAAAGATTTTGTTTTTACTGTGCCACATGAAAAATTTTTTTGAAAGCAATGTCATGAAAAAATTTCCATTTGATCAAGGATGAGTATTACAATTTCTCCTCAAAGTCGCATGAGGGCATCTTAATTAGGCCTGGTATGAATGCAACAATAAAATGAGAAAGAGTGGACTTTTGGCTCACCATGAGTGATTAATTCACTGGATTGCCAGTCCCCATGAGAGTGCTTTCCTGAATAATGTCTATTATTATTTTTATGAGGTTATGAGAGTGTGCATGGACATTGAATGACATTGTTCCATGAGTATCTATCATCCTAGTATATTTGCATTCTTAAGTGGCTTTTAAAAGGTGCTTAGATTGACTTTAATAAGAATAAATAATAATAATAGGAACTACTTTTTTATTTCCATAATTCATGCCTGTTCTCTCCTAGCATGAACTCAATCCTTGTTTTTCCTTGTGTCATGTAGGAAAACATCTATGATAGTAGGGTTCTGAGACATGATCTGCCTCTCTTTAAGCATACTGAACATATAATTGAATTATGAAATAGGAAGTAACAAGCATATATGAGAAGGGTAGATTAACTACCAAGAACTATGGTACTTAGTTCTTTATCCATGCAAGCTGATGACTGAAGTGCACGACACTCTAGAGAACAAAGTCGGTTTGGTGCTCCCTACAATGCCATGCCAAGCTGTATGCTTACCATGTATGCTTACCAGACAACCCAGTGTAGATACCAACTGTTAAGGCAATTGAATATCCTTAAAAAAGAATGACAATATGCTGCCTTGCTATAAATAATTTTTTATCTAAGAATATAAAAAAATTATGTTTGTACTGATGCAGTTTTTGGTATGTATCTTTGTACCTTTTAATCATATCCTTTCTTCTTAAGCTATGCTTTACATTCTGCATTCATTTTTAATTATAAGAAGGGTTTCAGTGGAAATTTTTGTTTAATGACTTCTCATTATGGAATGGTATAAATTGATTGCACAGTAATTTTCATTGCCTAATGAAGATCCCTTGTCATTTTTTTTTATTTAGATATTGTATTTATTGCTCTATCAGAGAAAGTTTCTGGATGCATAAAAATATTTTTACTCCAGTGTTTGTAGAAATGGAATCAAATGAGGTTTTTGCTGTGTTGACGTCTCCCTCATTAACTGATGCGCAGAGGGCCTCATGATCCTGCTCATGCATTTATGTCAATACACAGAGTACCATTGCTTAGTTTGTTCCTTGAATTTATTTTCAGTATATGGGAACAAAGAGTGATATTGCAGCAAAAATTGAAACAGACACAAGATCCAAGATCAATGGTATAAATGCCTGTGTGGCCCAGAACAAGGAAGAGGTAAGATTCTGGATGCCAGATGAAAGTTGCATAATACTATATAATAATAATTTGTATAATGATAATGTTCTTCTTTCCTGTTATAGGTCACCAAGTATATTTTGGCTTTGATAAATGACATCAAGCCTGAGATGCATCCGAATGCAAGGTTTGCAAAAAATGCCTGATCTTCACAGAGGAAAGAGAGATTTCCGGTCATGAAGTAGGTAAAGCGGTATTCAACAGTGAAGGGAAACATTTTATCTGTATTGCATCATGGAAAGTCATGGATTCAGCCTTCCACAGTATACTCATTGTATACTGTGGACTTCATGAAAAAAGTTGCAAGTATTGGGAGTTGAAATGAGATACAAGTGCAATATGGTCTGGTTATTTTTAATTCCTCAAAGCATTCCTAAATGAGATTTTTTAGACATTTTTTCTTCCTCTTTTATATTATATTACTAATATGGATGTGATTCCTCCATTGACAGTTTTCTGTTTCCCTATTTCTGTTAGCAAGTATGGAAGATGTGCCTTATTCCATAGCCTAATAACTGAAATGATTTCCGAGACTGGAAGCTGTAGCTTGTAGTGTTGGTGATAGTGACAACTGATATTAATATATTTGAATCCATTGTTTTCTGCTTGTGTATTCATTTGAAGACAAGGCATGCCCATAGCAATTCTTTTATCTTTATGCACTGTCATAGTGGTTTCTTCCTGGTAGTGATGAATGAATTCCAGTAATTTCAATGCAGAGTTGTCATTCAATAAGAAGTCATTGCCAATCTTAAGTAATTGTGAAGTGATTCATAATTTGCTTCAGTGATTGTAATGCTCTAATCACTGTTTCCTAGACTTCAAGAATTATTTCTTGTGATGCAGTGCATATGGGCTGTTGAGTCAGTACTTTTTATTTTTTTAATTTGCTCACCATCCCTTCAACCACATTGATCTGCAAATCAGTTAATCACAATTGTCATCAACCACACAATTTGTGATGCTGATTTCTCCCAAAGGTGTTTGCTATAACCAGATCTTGTACCTGCCCAAATGCCCCAAGAGAAAGCAGACAATACATCCAATGATTCAAGACAGACTTTTCTTGGACACTGAGTATCATCTTCCTGTAGTCATACTCCAAACTCACAAAATCAGACTGTAATGCCTAAATACAGTCAGGTTGTATAATGCACTTCAGTCCAACTTAGTGATGCAATTCCTTCTTATGTTGTGGTTGACACTTGCAAAATCTCAAGTTCTGCATTAGCTGCTTATGTGCAAGCCCATGACAAAGAGTGTTCATGGATTTCTTCACCTCTGCCAACTTTGATGTTTGGGCTGATGACATTACCTGATGGTTCATTGGTTAGTTATGCTTCTTTTAGATAGATTAAATAGTGTTTCTATCAAGTTCAAGTGCTTCAAACACAATAATTTTCCCAAGTTGGAAGCATAAAAAATCTCAATGGACAACAAATCTGAGCCCTAATCCTTTAGTGCATCACTTTGGCAAACTCAAACAAGATGGCAGGCAGCTTTGATGAAAAAGTTTGTTTTTTATCTATTCTTTCTGCTGATTCCCATGTTGTTCGTTGAAAAACGATAAACACCGTTAAGAAGTGATAAAAATGGAGAACATGGCTTAAGGCAGGAGTTCTTAACCTGGGGTCCGTGGAGGGTCCATGAAAAATTAAATATATAATTGAAGGTAGCTCCCAAAAAGGAAAATCATTTACAATTACAAGTCCAGGTGTTCCAAAGTTTCTGATAACTGGGGGTGGGAATCCATGGGTAATAATCGAGGATCTGGAGGGTCCGTAGGAGCAAAAAGGTTAAGAACCCCTGGCTTAAGGCTTTCAGACAAACAAAATATCAATCTTTATGCAACCAGAATGCAAGGCATCAGAAAAGAAATTCCTCCACTGTGACCGCCTGCACACAATCGCGTTTCCCCCTGACAATTTTGAGCTACTTACTCGTTTGCGACTCTCGATTCTTCAGCTTTCGCACTTTAGTTAACAATCCGAAACATTTCGCTTTGGGTGTTAGCAAAATGCACGCACGGCTGCGATTGCGACCTCGCGCCATAAAAAAAAAAAATTATTGCGCAGGAACTGCTTCCTTGAAAAAGTACGAGATCAGGGGAGAGTGGTGCTAATTTTTCTTCAAATTGCATGAGCGCTTCTTAATTAGTACGAATGTAGGAATCAAATTAAATTAGGTGAACTTTTTAGGCCCATCCTAGTAGAGGAGAGGGGGTTAAAGCGGTCCACCCTGTAAAATGCCCTATTTGTGCTTCCGTCTTTGTTTTGGTAAATTAAAAAAGAGATCACCCCATCAAACGTCACGCTAAAAAAGAAATTCTATTCTGATAAGTTTTTTCCTAAATTCACCAAAAACTTTAAATGGATGGAAGCACAAGCTTGATTTACCCCTGTATCCTCGACATGTTTACTTTGTAGTTAAGCTGGTTCGATGCTTCTCGAGGAACTTGGGGATTGATTCTTGGGAGATAGACCCACATATTGCGTGAATTTCATACCTATTCTTTTCCTCCAGCCACCCTCCAAATCAAGATATCGACGCTTGTCCTTGCCCTTAACTCTTCTGCGGACGCTCTGGGCATGGAGACCCCCGTTTCTCTCCATCCAGGGAGCCGTCGTCGGTTTCGGGGTTGCGTGTCTTCCTTCTTGCCCCTGCTGTTTCTTCGTCCCATGTCTCTTCCGTTTGCCTTTTCAAATACTGCAGTTGGGGCGCTATTATGTCTTGGAGGATTGGAGGTACCCTCTCAGAGATACCGTTTTCGCCCTTCGTATTGCATCACCACGCATTTTCTACTGACGAATTTATCACATTTTGAAAATATGAGGGTGCGTACGCTTTTTAATATCTCTTTAATAGCCTTAGCATAAACCATTTATGAAAGCATTCGGCCATTACCCGATTATGCTTGCTTTTTGAAAGTCGACTGAAAATTGTTTCGAAGTAAAAGTTGTTGATTGAAATTAGGTTTTCTCATCTGGAACAATGTAAGAGTTCTTGGAGAAGCTTGAGAAGAGCTGTGCTTAGAAGTCACGCAAGTGCCACCTAGCGGGCCAGTTCGGAAGGAAATCCCACGCGGCCATCTTCCTGTCTTGCATCCGCAATTTTGTTTGGTTGGGTGGATTTTGGAGGAGAGGAGCCACTTCGCCTCTGGTCCTGTCACGAAGTTTTCAGTGGCATAAAGACTCGTCTTTCTTAGATGAACATAGGCCTAGGTCAATGGCGCTACCTCAGAATCTTTAAGGGTGTGAAGTATAGGCGGCGATTTGTTGAGAAATTTGGGGGGTCTCAGAGGCAGTACTCTAAGTATTCCTTATTCTTCTGCCAAATTTTTTGGGGGGACTCGAGCCCCCTGAGCCCCTATGAATCGCCGCCTATGGTGTGAAGTTCTCTAGATCGGTTCTTGCCCCAAATAATGTATTGCTGGCAGGTCCAATAGTACCGCACCACCACATTTCCTTCCCTTTTCATTGGAAGCCTTTCCATCCCTACTGTTCTCATCCCCTTACGGATATTGTAAAGTTTTCTTTAGCGTAACATCTCCCCCCAACGAGCCTGACCTTATCAAGACAGTCTTGCAATAAGTGGGGCTTCAGGGTTCAAGGTTCGGGTTGGGACGTCAAGTGGCATTCTAGCCGTTATAATGTTCCATGTCAAGGTTCAGTTTTCATGTATAATATGATGGGGCCCCATTCCTCTTGATGCATATTTTTGTTGGAGCATATCCACCTACTGCCTAGTTTCTTGTAGCTACAGTGGCACCTTTTTTGCTTTGCATATGAAGGCTCCAACGTCTTTCTAAAGCTTGTCTTGGAAGGAGCAACCTCTGCATTATTGCTTAACACATTCCATGCATTCACCACCCAACAAATTAAGAAGTCATTTTGCAACAAGAGTCTCACCTGGGGTTTATGCAGTTTGATTCGGTCCCCTCTAATTCTGGTGCTGCCATCAAATAGGACTTGAAATTGCAAATTGGAGAATGCTGGGAATCATGAAACCATCCAGTCAGATCATATCAACCAATCCTTTGTGAGTGCTGATCACAAGGTCCAGGATTTGGGAATAAGTCTGAGGCTGTGACTCATCTGGTAGGCCTCATGACTAGCTAATGAAGGCCTGGAGGTATTGAGGGCAGCATCTGGTTTGCTATCAATTGAACCTCTAAACATTTCATGGAAGGAGATTATGCACTACTGATAGGCATTGGCAAAGCCTATGTAGGCCAGCAGAACTTCATTAGTGAACATTCTTCCAAGTTCCAGTACCAAAAAGTTATCTCGGCTGATGCCACCCCCCCTCCTCTCAATGCACAGTCATGCCTTATGCATGAGTCACATTCATTAAATATAGTATTGCCTTGTAGTTGCCAGTGTGTGGACTGTTCACATTGTCCAATACACTTTCATCCCAGCTTCATGGCAGCCCTCAGGGTAAGACATTTTAATAGAGGCTCATTTTTATTACCATCTCTAATTGTGAGCAGCCTTCTACTGGCATTTGTCTGTGGGATGACATCCTTTTTTGGGAAAGAAAAAGACTGTCCTGTGCTGAGGACATGCATAACTGCCTGAGGACAAGGAGTCGGGATGGGTTCTGTATGTTCGCTCTCTTTTGGTGGAATTTCCACATACTGCTCATTCTCCTGGGTGGGCACATGGGGGCCATGGGTTCAAAGTCTTGTGATGGCTGGGATTTGTAAATTTTCTTTTTAGCTCACATATTTTGAGGATAATATATTTTTTTGTTGGTTGTTAGGTTTTATTTAGAAGGTGGAAGACACTTTTCATTGTAATCCAGGTAGGCCAGACTCAAGCTTGGCAAGTGGTATACCAAGCCTCTTATGACAAAGATATACTGTATATTAGTAGTCCATCCACCTCGTACAAGGCATACTTTAGTCAACTTTTGCAAATGGCATAAATACTGCAGGAATGTCCAGGGAAGAGCAGTGGAGTCTCCTTAGAAAAAGACACTCACATGGCTTTCATATGAACACAAATCCAAGAATCCCGACAAATTACCTGCCTTGTAACAGAAGCTGTCCTTAGCTTACAAATTGCAACTCTCTGCCTTGATGAGATATAAATTTTTACTTTAAAGGTTTTAATTTCACCTCCAGTGCATTGAACATGACCTGGATGAACAAACAGGGGTACTTTGTGGAAATAACTTCCATCTGCCATTGCTTCCACACAACAATCAACTCTTTTACATTTCCAATAAGCAATCATCCTCACTTGCTCTGTCTTTCCAAAACATGTATTTATGAATGAGTTGTAGGCTACCTTCCTCGTGTGAAGTCATGTATTTCATTTCAGTCACAAGACTATCTCGACACCATGTGAGAAAAGAAGTTGGAAAAAAGGTCTTGCCATCAGTGTATAACAGAATCTCTATCTTATCCAAATCTTCCTGTCTGACACTTTTTACTCTGTGGAGTCATTCAACTGTCATCTATATTTTCAAAATTCCTTTCTTTTTTTTCTCTATTTTGTTTTTTTTTTTTTTGAGATGAGGTTGCCATCAGTGTATTAATTGTTTGGCAAACTTGGGGGGGTTTAGACATTATTTTTCTTGTTCAATATTCTTACCTGTAGCTGTTTCATGTGTTCATTGTGTTTGGCTATTGGCATTTTTGTTTTCAGCTTTGCATTATGAACTCTTTTTGTTGGCTGTGTAATATGTACCAAGACCAACAGTCACTTTACATATAAAAATACAAATTGATTGGTTCACTGGTAAGAGGTGAAATGTCCAAGAGACTAATCTGACATATCCATAGTGTCAAAAAGAAACAACTGCATCCAGAACTGATCTGTAACTTTTATAACATTTTAAACTAAGAAATGTCTTCATTTCCAAGCTTGAATACAGGTTTGCTGATGAGAGTTTTTACAATTTTGGAAGTTTACTTCTGAGTCAATTAAGAAATAGCTTCCCCACATAGAATTATTGCAGTAGGCAAACAAGTGACTTTGAGGCTAGAACATATGACCAGAGGATAGTGCAAATTCAGAAGAATGGAGCAGCCAAAAAGTAAGGGGATCATTGGGGTAGCACCATCAGATGAAGTATGTCATGCAGCAGGTTTGCAAACTTTACTGGGAACCGTGGTTGAGAGCTTTACACTCCATACAGGATTGATAGGATCAGGGATGGAAAAGCCTCAATCTCCAAATCATTGTATTTTTCCTGCTGAGCCCTTGTCTATGGGCAAAAACAGTAGTCCTCACAGTGCAGTCTTGAAACATGTGTGAGCCTAGAGCCCCCTACCAACCCAAAACAAATATCAATGCCTTTGAAAAGATTGACAATGGAAGGCCAAAGATGCATCATGTCCCCATTTCTTGTCATGATCATCTAAATGTATTGCAAGCACATTACTTTTGACATGATCTCATTTGGTATATATTTCCTCAGGTTCCTTTACTCCTTAGCTTGATAAATTTATCAGAAAACAATGGCTGCTCAGACACAGGGAATCCAACAGCTTCTTACAGCTGAGAAGAGAGCTGCAGAGAAGGTGGCAGAGGCAAGAAAGAGTGAGTTTTCATTTCCATTAGAATAATTTCACAGTTTAGATCATTTTAAAAGGTAACATTGTTTATGCCACTTGAAAGCTGCTTTTGCTCAATTAACAATCGAAAAGATACATTTACATTCAATGTACTGGAATACTGAACAATCTTTGGAGGTTAATTTGTTCTATTAAGGAGCAAAGCATATACCTATATATTGTATCTTCTCTCAGGGAAAGCACGAAGGTTGAAGCAAGCAAAAGAAGAAGCTCAGTCTGAGATTGAACAATATCGGCAAGAGCGCGATCGGCAGTTCAAGGAGTATGAGAGCAAGGTAGAGCTGTTTTCTTTGCTCATAATCTTAGTGTGAATCTGCACATACCAGGATACTTCCATGAATGATTGTGATCAATTGCCAATTTCCATGAAGGTACTATCATGAGTTGGATGTATTTTCATGAGAGATGAAAAAAGCACTGAGACAGGTATATAATTTCCACAAAATCAAATGATAAGTGCATATTCAGTCAAGTCTGATGTAGTGTATATTGCTTCAGAAACTACCCTTTTTTTTCATGTGTTTGACCTCTTTGTGAGGGGATCTGCCCAATAAAATTTGTGTAACCATTTACTTGGCTGTAGTAAGCTGACAAATGTCAACAAATGAAGACAGTCAACTGTTGAGGTCTCTTGCTATCAAAGCAAAAGGTAGATAATTTGCTATGTTGCCTGGAAACATTTGTCTGAAATACTTCATGTGATTTTTAAATAATGAAGTTCACATTGTAGCTGTTTCAGATATATTCTGAAAAGCTGTTGCATGAGATCCTCCGTTCTAATACTTAGTCCCCCATTTCACATCTGTTTTCAATTATGGTTTCAGTTATTGGAATAAAATTAACCCCCTCCCCCAGGTGGAAGGATATAGATTTAACTGAGAAATTATTTTAACTCTGTAAGGAATCTTTCCATGGGTATTTCATGATTATTAATCTATGACTTAAAAGGCTTAAAAAAACCTTAAAATGCACATGAGTTGTGCTGCTTGGTCCATAGTAAGGATTAAATTAAATTAATGATATATGAACTTATATATCATTATATATAAGTATTTCATACTTATATATGAAACTTTACATTGTGAATTTCCTGTAATAATGCAGGTAAATATTTCAGCTGTGTTGAGATCTGCCTCACTGCCTTTGCTGTTTAAAGGACCTTGAAGTCCTTATACATATACATATATCTTATACCCTCAACAGTTATCTAGTTTGCTCCTTGAATTTCTTTTCAGTATATGGGATCAAGGACTGATATTGCAGCAAAAATCGAAGCAGACACAAAGTCCAAGATCAGTTCTATAAATGCCTCTGTGAGCCAGAACAAGGAAGAGGTAAGATTCTAGATGTTAATGATTGTTGCAGAATATGTTCCTTCATAATAATTATAATATTCTTTTTTCCTGTTATAGGTCATCCAGTACATTCTGTCTCTGGTATACGATATCAAGCCTGAGATGCATAGGAATGCAAGGTTTGCAAAGAATGCCTGATCTGGTTGGAGGAAGTGAGCAATATCTGTTAAACTGTTGATCAACTTGTAGGTGAAGAGGTATTCAGCAATGAAGAGGAACAATTTGTCTTGCTTTATGTAAAGCCACATAATCTGCTGTCTTTGTATTTGATGGATCTCCTAAAGAAGTTTCGTGTAGTGATGCTTGTGTGAAGTGCAATGAGTTTTGAGTGCCATGTATTGAAGATATTGATTTTGGAAAACCTTCTCAGATGAGATTTTTGGGGCTTTTTTCATGAAGTTACATTCCTGTCATTTATACCTGTTCATATTAAGTGGATATGATTTCTTCCATGAGGATTTACTGTTTATTTCTGCTAGCAAATATAGAAGGATCATTAATTCCTTGCCTTAATATCTATCTTTCAATCTGGTAGATAGAGCCCATGATGTTATTGATAGTGAAAGGCTGAACATAATATATTAATTCTTGCTTTCTGGTTTTGTATTCATTGAAGACAAGGCAATCCTCTTAACATTTGTTCCTTCTTCACAAAGTCACACTGGCTTCCTCCTAGTGACCCAAAATTCTTCTCTCTTGTGATATGGTTCATATGGGTCATTGACCCAATACTTTGGCTTAAGCCAAAACTTGCTCACCATCCCATCAAGCATGTTTGTCTGGGAACCACTCACAAACACATGTTGTCGACCCCTTCGTATTCTCGATGATGATTTCTTCCAAAGGTGTTTGTCACGACCAGATCTTGTGCGTATCCAAATGCCCCTGGACAAAGAAGGTAACATACCAAATAAACACAGACTTTCCACGAATACTAATTATCCTCCGACATAGTTGCATTCCAAATTTATTTATTATCAAGCTGCTCTGACTGATGGTCAGGTCCAATGTACTCAGGTGTAACTACTGCTATCAGCATTTCCTTGAAAGACTGTGTGCCTGGCACTTGGGCACAAGTCCATGACAAATACTAGTATTTAAGGAACAGCTTTAAATATATCAACTAAGGTACCACGTATTTGATCTGATGATCTTGTGTTGGCTGAAGGTTCACTGGCCAATTACACTTATTTTAGGGTGGCCCACCTCATGTTACCCCTAGGATGATGTTTTGCTTTTTGATCTTGTATGTCATAGTTCAACACTAGGGCTGTACTGATCCTTAGATCAGAGATTGGACATAAGTTGATTCAAGCATTTTCTATTAAATCAGTGAAACTGATATTTTGGCCAGCCAATTTTCTGACTTTTAAAATTTATTCATTTTCTTTTTGTGCACCCAACACACATCACAGCTCTTCCCCCTACTTCAACTAACCAGCATTTTGTGGCAGGCCAGGGAATTCCTATGAGCAGACGTTGGCAGATGTTATCTGCACTTATTCCGGAAATCTATTTTATTGGTCATTTTTCCAGAAAAAGTATCAGAAATAGGCATATCAGCCAAATTTTCCAATTGATACAACCCTACTTTTTAATTTTTACTTACAGCTTCAGTTGCACATGCAAAATATATTTATTAAAGTTCTGGCACACCTCATTCCATATCACTTTGAAACATGCTTCAGGGGTATTAGGTCCCAATTGCTCTCTCAGAATAAATGTCAGGCCATGTCAACTAAGGTGAAAGGTTAAGAAATGCTAAATTCTAGACCACTGCATCCTTACCAATTCAACCTATAGAACCTCTTGATGACTGCTTTCACAGTTTTCTTCTTTCCTTTTCTAAGGGAACAATTGATGACATTTCTCTTTTGGATCACTGACATTGGGAGCAAAGGAGTGTTCTTGTGGATCAAGGGATTCAACAGCATTGACAACCTCCCAGTTGCAAAGAGTGATAATGATCCTGATAATGCACTGGTACCACCAACACCAAAGTGGAATCTGTCCTCCCTGTGGAAAAGAAACAACAATTTGATCAATTATGTCCTTTAAGCAAGTCGCTTTTGAGGGGTTAAAGAACTTTGCAAAACATGTAATAATATTTATTTTCAATGTTTATGCATGGGGTTTATGGCTCAACTAAGCTGTAGAAAATGCACAATGTAGGCATGGGATTTTTTTTTTTTCAGGAATTTTCTGTCCGACAGTGAGTGACTTGGAGCCTGCAGGGCTCTGGGACAGATAACCTGGATTCTTACCTCCTTTTTGCAATACTGTCTTTTCCATACTTTTCTCAATTTCACAGTCAAATAGTGATGTTGCCAAAGTCACTGTTTTCTGTGGCCAAGTGTTTTGGGCTTCCAACTCAAACCCAGGAGGCAGTGGATGGAATGCAAGCAGAAATGCTTGCTCATCACCAACAGGTGACCTAAATGTATAGTGGGGAGCACATACATGGCATTGGAGCATTGTACATGCAGCTCAAGGTGTCAGACCCAGGAGATACAGTGATTAAAAAAATGTTCTGGCAGTCTTTAGCCAATGCAATACATGAACTACTCCTTTGCTCCATACAGAAATATGGAGACACTGCCATATCAGCTTTGGTGGCTGTGCTAAGCAGACACCCCCCTTCCTGTAAGTGTACACTAAATGAAATACATCCACTGTCTCACTTGTCTGCCACATATTCTGAAAAGATGTTGCCAGAATCATTTTCAAAACCTCACTAACCCATGACTCTTCTAAAGGCTGTAAATCTTTTGGGCCAAGAGCAAATGAAGGTTGCTTATTGGGATTACGTTCTTCAGGAAAAAAATTTTTTTGTCTATTCTGAAAGGAAAATTAATATCTGATGACAATGATTGTGAAAGGTGTGCAGTATGAATACCACTGAGAGAAAGTAGTCCCATTAAATAGCCAATTCCTGACCACAAGGCTCAAACTGTTACACCATCAACTGGCAAACATGAGACCTAAAAAATATAACCAAGCCCACAACATGACCTGAAATACTTGGAATCCTGGCACTCCTCAGAGTTACTTGTGCCTTAAGGCCTTACATATGGACTGAGTCAACTGGTTCAAGTAAAATTACACCCAGACAATCAAGTCCATTAGAAATTATTGAACCAATTTCGAGGCTACTGATGCATGCAGCTTGATTTGGGTACTTACCTGAGGTAGAACCCGGATCTGACTTTAGGCCAGGCAGAAGCTGAGACTGGCAAACGTCGACCTCCAAATTCATTGCTAAAATGCAAACTGGTGTTGTCATGCGGCCGAAGCTGGCTAGACGTCCAGAGCGAACGGACACCAATCATTGGCCGAATGTATCTTGATAATGTTTCTGTCAATCTTTCATTATGGTTAGGCACCAAACGAACAGCTGATCTAGCCCTCACGATTTCTGGAAAAATCCCCTGTCCGTGTGCATGACCACGAATGAAGCCAATATCTGTTACCAGACTGGGCACGAGTGATAAACTCTGATGAGCTCTGGCCAATGGTTGGCGTAACATCGCGATGGCACAAGAATGAGAACCAGCGAATACCTACATATGCGGTCCCACTGCGTGTACGGACGGCGCCATCATATTATGCTGCTATTGCCATCTACCGGAAGGTAGCGACTGCTTGGTTGAGTCGCCACAAGGCAGATGTATATACCTTCTGTCGGCGAGCCAGTGTGGCTAAGAGGATAGTGTTTCCTAGGTAGCATATATTTATTCGGAAAAATGAGGCTCGCAAATTAAATGCTACTAATTCCATGCAATTACTTGTGAAAACCCTGATTTTCGAAATTATCGCATGGAATGAGTTGCTGTAAAGAAGCCACCCTATCTCAATTGGTCATACGAGGGTCACTCAATAAGTTATCTACCTGAATAAGAAAGAAAAAAAAAAAAAAAAAAATAACACTTTATT